CAGCATCCAACCAGCATCAGGCAGCATTCAACCAGCATCCAGCCAGCATCCAACCAGCATCTAGCCAGCATTCAACCAGAATCAACCAGCATCCAAGCAGCATCCAGTAACGTCAACCAGCATCCAATCGGAATCAACAATCATCCAACCAGCATCAACCAGCATCCAGCCATCATGAATTAGCATCCAGCCAGCATCCTATCAGCATTAACAAGTATACAACAATATCAACCATCATCTGACCAGCATCCAGCCATCATCCAACCAAACTGGGCTGCAGACTTTGTTCCTGTCTACATTTACGATAGTTATTTTGTATCTTGAATGTTTCTGATCATTAATGTGTTGTGACAACAGACAGCCAGTCCCCGACTCAGCAGTTTGTTTATAATGTTTCTGGATCAAACAGCAAAATGTTTTAATTTAAAGCAGAAATTAGAAAAAGATTAATGTTTTACTGCAATTATAGCAATTTGAAGCTGCAACTGTTGCATCTCCAGCAGAGAGCTCATGAGGTTCTGATTCCTTTATCCATCTGGACCACAGCTGACTTCTATGAGTCGGTCCGGTCCACCCAGTGAGCTGCAGCTCAGGAGGTCACATGTTCTGGAAACAACTCGGGGAGCTTTTTAAAGTGAGGTGATGTTCAGCATCCTCACAAAGAGCGACGACACCAGAACCTCCAGCAGCTGCAGACCCGGTCGGCACGGTGAGTTCCTGCTGCAGATTCACTACATTTCCCATCAGCCTCTGCAACCGCAACATTTAAATCAATTATCAAACTGAATTTAAGATGATGTTTCAGTTCACCGACGCTGGTTTCTACTTTTAAAGAAACTACTTTCAGTATAGATCAGAAGGAAATTTATTCACAAATTAATTACTTTCTAAAAATAATGGGTTATTTTTAAATGTCTCACTTCATTTCTTGTGGTTTAGATTAAAAAGTAAAAAAAAAAAAAAACTGGGAATGCCACATTAGAATGAGATGTGAAAATGTAAAAATTAAACTGAACCAAAAAGAAACTAAGATGAAGAGTTTTATTTGGTCCAAACTGAACGACTGCTGAGGTTCCGTCCAGATTAACGACCACATCTCAACGCTCTGCAGCTGCTCTGATCAGAGCGTGCACAAACTCTGTGACTTCACTGCATGAGAGCTCAGACTCAAACCAGGAAGTGCAGATTCATTTTAATCCATCTCTGCATGAAAAACTACAATTAATCTGACACGGTTGAGTCAGGTCCTCTGGATGGATTAAAAAAAAAAGTTGAAATGTTTCGTCTTTGATCCAAAGGACTTCTTCAGTCTGAGGTGCTGTTTTCAGCTCAGTCTCTTAAATAGCACCTTCTCAGAGTGGATCAACCAGTTTGCTGCTGACAACCAGAACCAGCTGATCACATGCTCAAGAAGGACCATCAGCCTAACAATGGATCATTAGCACCTGATGGCTGTTTACTGTTCACAGAGGGCTGAGTGATACCAGCAATCACAGCATTGTAAGAGGGGGACAGTTGAACCTGGAGGCTCCACCCCTGTTTAATGATGGACGGTTTCTTTTCACAAAGATGGCCTCCTTTACTCCTCTCTCAAACCATCGTTCCTCTCTGTCCAGGATGTGCACATCTTCAAATGACCTCTGACCTGCAGATGAGTGTAGACCTGAGTCCTGGCAGTCGACACCCCCCACCTGAAACGTGTCCTGTAGCATTAACTCCTCTGTAACCGACAGGTCAGGAGATTTTAGAGATGTCTCACAGCAGCTGTTTGAGGCTTACTTTCAGCTCTGCATTTCTGTCTTGTTTGCGTTGGGTCTTTTTTATTAGTGATGTCAGTTTGATGTGTCCAGCAGATGTTTAAACTCCTGGACATCTTTCAAATTTTTAACCCCGACTGCTCGTAAAGTTCATCCTTTGTCCCGAGAAAAGTTCACCCCGCTCGCTGCTGGGTCCATTTACAACCAGGATTTGGTTCTGGCAGTTCGAGGTCAGGCTGGGAGGGACAGTAATGGGGGGGGGGGGGGGGGGGGGGGTATTACAGGGATCCCCCTGAGCTGATGTGGCAGCTGCTGGCTCTCTGCAAGTCGTGCTGATTGTCTGACGTCCGCCGGCCTTACATGACTCACATTCCAGTTCACCAGCATCACGGCTCAGCCCAGGTCCACCCCGGACCAAATAAAGATCTGCAGACCAGAGTTTTCATGCACGTCTATTTTAATCCAAGAGTCCAACATGAAGCATCACTTTAGATATGACAGAAAAACACTTAACACTCATCCTGATCCAGGAACAACAGACTCTTTAGATCAACCTGATGGGAACTGTCTCCAAATGGCAGGGGTCCACATCCAGTCTTTGGACCTAGATCGGCTGCTGACTTTTCATATTTGTGATATCCCATGAAGATCTTTACTCAGTGATAACAGTAATCTCAACTCATCCACTGTGCTTTGGTCCTCAGCAGATGTATGTTGCAGTCAGGAAACCCATTAGTGTTGTTGGCTCTTTATTATAAATCAAAGGAAATGTTCCAAGTCTTCAACAAGAGTCGTTTGAAGCGTGTGGTTGAGATGATGCGACGGATTAAAACGAGGGAGTGAATCTGTTTTGTTCTCAGATGTCTCGATTTCTGGACATTCGAGAGCTTGGAGAAGCTGCTCGCTACCTTCGTCTCACCAACCTGGAGCAGCTGGCGGCCAAAGCCCAGGCCTTTGACGGTAAACACCTACCTGTACTAATCAGCCATAATATTATGACTACCTGTCTAATGTGGAAAGTCCCCATTTTGACATGCCCTGTCTGACATCCTCTGTGGACCTTCGGAGGTCTGCTGTGGACCTTAAAATCTTTCTAAAGGACTCCAAAGTTCATGCTCAATAATCCTGGTAAAAACCCAACAAAGTTCAGTCAGCTCATCTGGACAGCTTCTTTCTTTGCTGAGACAGTCATCAAGAAACCGTCCAGATGAGCTGACTGAACATTGTTGGGTTTCTAAAGAACTCTCTGATGGACCTCTGGAAGACTTCTGTGGTATCAGTCTTCAAGCCATCAGTACCAGATCCATTTAGTCCTGAAAGGTATGAGACGTGGCCACTATGGAGCTGACGTATTGGTCCAGAACATCTCACAGCATCCCACAGAGCTGCAGCTCAAAGAAGCTTGAATCCTCACGGTGTCTAGTTGTTTTCCATGTCCAACATATACCTGCAAGGGCAGAATGGTCAAATTTGATCTAATGGATCTCAACAGCTGCCAGGTACCATGACAACTAGACAGTCAATGTTTACATACAATGGTGCTTGAAAGTTTGTGAAGCCTTAATAATTTTCTATATTTCTTTATCAGTGTGACCTAAAACATCTTCAGATTTTCACACAGGTCCTAAAAGTAGATAAAGA